CGCGACACCGGGACCGGTCATTCGCCGCTCGGGGTCAGAGCGGTGCGGAGCTCTGACGGACTGGAACGAGACACACGCTAACGCAGGCATCATTGCGTGAATATTGTAAATGTCGTATCTCGCGCGGAGAGAATAAGGATGAAGAATTCAATGCAGATCGCGACGGTGTATGTATAAAACAATAAGCACTCCTAGCTACAGAATGTTATTCCCTATGCAGACTTAAAATAATCTTATTTTCAATAATTTATAGCGAGCCTCTCCGCAGCCGTTTTCCTACAGGCTATTGTGCATTTAAGGAGTAACGGGACAGAATTCACCGGACTGTCTTTGCATTCAACGGCCTTTTTAATTGAAGATATCCACATAGATACTTGTAGGCATTTCGTTTTTTGTTTTTTGTTTAAAAGAATATTTTTTTTTGGGGGGGGGGGTGAAAATAATAGGTAAATCTTTCTATGACATTTCCACAATGCTTTCAGAATGTTGTTGATAGATCTTAGGCCCGAAAAACAATACAGGGTGAGCCATAAAGATTTACCCATCGAAAATTTAACTTTGTTTCAAGGCGAGCTGACATAGCTATGTCATCTTTTACATACATATAACAACGTCACCTCCTGACTAATAAATGTAGTCTGTTTTCTGTATGCTCGCATTCTTCTTATGTTACGCGCCCGAGACGCGAGAGCACTATGGCACGCGGCCGCTGCACCGTCGTTTCTCTTATTATCCTCGATCACCCATGCTAGAACGCTGCTGCGCCGTATGTCACTTGCGGTGTTTCAGGGACTCGGTAGAGTAGGGTTTTCAGGATATTTCATTTTGCGAAGCCCGTGGGGCTGAAGTCGGGGATAAATTGTGCCCAGCATTCTTTAGACCAAGGAGTGTTCAGCAGCCAACACCCAGTGGTGATTCCTGAATTTCAGGAGCGGCGGATGTGCGTTAAGACGACCTCGCATTTCAGGGGCGTAGCAGAGACAGTGGACGAGCATATTCAAAATCAGCTACACTGTCAGGATTGGAGACAAATTTGCGACATATATGCTAAAGATGACATTCCTACGCCTACCCGTCCTTCACTCCCCCTTGTCAGTCTCTCGTCTATACGTTTATAGTATATTGTCTCTCGTCTATAGCCTAATCTCTATCTTCGTCACTTGTCTCTGGTCTATCGTCTTCGTCTCCTGTCTCTGCTCTAGCGGCTATATGCATATTGTTTGTTGTCCACTAGCCAACGTTTACCGTTCGTCTCATTGTCACTTTGTCTCCTTTTCCTTTCTCTTTCTTCCTCCGTCCTTATTTGTCGTAGAACAACTTATTAAAAGTTCATGACATGCAAACAAGTGCTCCACTCCGCTGCGCTGCGTGCGCGGCCCGCACGCCGGCCGGCCGGACTGCGACTGCCGCCGACATGACCCGAGGCTGGACCGCAAGTGGGCGGAGCCAAGCCGCAGTGTGCTAGTGCGTCTCGACCAATCAGAGGGGAGACAGCGTCCAGCCTGTGTCAGCCTCTAAGCAGGGCTCTGACGACCTTAACATTATCAGTCAATGACAAGTGCCTTTATTTTTCATTTTTCGTTAATAGACCATATTGATAAAAATTAGGTAGGGATCTCAAACTACCAATGCCAAAATTTCGTTAAAATCAAACGCATATACATCGAGAAATAGCCGAAAAGGACTGTTCCACAGGGTCTGAAATGCATAATAGTAGTTATGCGCCGCTTTGTCAAAAACTGTCTATACGGCAAAGTGATACCTTCGATGACCTCTAGTGGCATGACCTTTGACCCGACCTAAAATTGACCAAAGTATGTTCGTGATTATGTTTATGCTCTTTTGAGCACCAACTAACGCTTATCTCTGCATGGCCCAGGTGTTGGGGTGTGGCCAAAACACACCTACCCACCACAGCGGTGACCAGAAAGCCGACCTCACACTGCAAACACCGTGGCGACCCCCTGGTCACAGCAACTTATTGCCAACAATATTTCATCTACCTTTCTGATAATTGCAGTACCGTAAACCGGGGTGAGTTGATATGGGGTGGTGAGTTGATATAAATTGCTGGAAAAATGTTAAAATGTGTGCTGCTCATCCATTTGTAAACCAATTTTCAGTTTTATTTTTCTGCGAAGTGAAGCAATCAATAAGTGATGCATATAGCTGAGAAAGGCATGCATGTGGTGCAGTGCCTTCTTAACACATTACTTTTTTCAAAGTCCTTTTTTTCTTCTGATTTTGAAACTAAGGAAAAGTCCCCACCCTACAGCAAAGACGGTGGATATTCATGAAACAACATGCACTGGGAAAGAGACTACCATCAATTTACTGTTGATCCCAGGTAGTTTTGGGTTTCACCTATAACAACGTTTTTTAATAATTTTAAGAAAAGTGACAGGTGGTGAGTTGATATGCCATCAGGTGGTGAGTTGATATGCATGATAAAAGCTGATACCAAGGCTGGTAGGCATGCAAATTAGCATGAAATATGGGTCTGCAGGTAAGACAAAGTCAATTAGACCAACTCTTCTCCTTTTCTTTCCCCACATCATTCCATCAACCCCCAAAAGCTTTAGTTTTTTTTTCTGAATGCTTGAGACGAGGCCTGTTAGTATCACTGCAATGTTAGTTGTCGGACTTTCGTCCCCGTCTTGAGTTGAGATGTTAGTTTCACAACGTTTCAGCCAGTAGCTTCTCCGGCCGTAGTCAAACCTGCCTCGATAGTGGAGTGGTTACAACCGTGGACCATCACCGGGGAAACCCGAGTTCGATTCCCGCTGACTACAGGAGCTTTCGAACTGTTTGACGCGTACGGCGCAACGCCACCGACATCCAGGTCCTTGAGGGTCAAAGAACACCTGACGAGTGACGACGGCCGGAGAGTAACTGGCCGAAACGTTGTGAAACTAACATCTCAACTCAAGACGGGGACGAAGGTCCCACAACTAACATCAGTAACCCCAAAGTTTTTTTTTTCTGTGGACATACCTAACATGCAAAAGACACAGCACAACTCCCTGTCAAGTCTCAAGATGGCTCCCAACAAGCTACAAAGGAACACTATAGAACACCTATATTACATACAGATTAAAAAATTGTTATAATTATTCGTAGTTTCGAAAATGACAGAACTGTCATTTCTGTATGGCTAACAGCGCGGGAATTCTGATCTCGTGAAACTGATTAGTTTTCCTGCTTGGTAGTTGCCAACCGAGAATGAGTGACAAAATGAAATGGAAAAAACAATATAAAGAAATTGACTGGTGTTTAGCCCTCGCCCGTATTCGTGTTTTGTCAGCGTTTAACGTATGGGGGGGGGGGACCGTTGGAATCCCATCGTCGTTTGGCCCCTGGTGGAGCTAGAGCTTCGCGGAAAAAAATGAGCGTGTTGCCCGAGACGCGAGGAAGCCGATGATAACCAACTTGGTCATTGGTTAACCTTCCAGGCCAGGTCAATTACCCAGAAGTCGGGAAAATAGGGGGTTATTTGAAGTTCGTAAAGCGAGTTTATTATTTTTTGCCTGTTGCTGATCGCGAATGTCATGTTAGTTTTGATCACAGATGTCTTCGTACATTTAGGCCAGGTCAGGTCAGGTCAGGTCAACCAGTAGGTGTCCTGCCGGCTATCCATAGGGAGTGTCAAGTGTCAGCTACCACTGACGGTGTCGTAACATGTTACGAAGGCACTAAAACTACTTCATAAATGATCAAATGCATGTTAAATTCAAAATCGGCCCGAAAAAAACTACCCTAGAAACATGTAAAACTCCAAAAAGTGAACCGAGGTCACCAAAGGTCAATGACCTGACCTGACCTTCAGGTGACCTTAACAGTTGACACCCACAATACTGCGTGGGACCAACATCATTTACATGCTTGGACGTTACAATCACAAAAAGACTGGAAATGCGCGGATAATGTGAGCCGACTACGCCAAATCGCAATTCCGGCCAAGCATGGTCTCGAGAATCAGGTCACAAGTCAAAAACCATTTGAGTCAGGGTCATGAAATCTTTAGAACATGTGTAAAATTGATCAACTCGAGAGGTACTGAAAGTTTCGTCGTGATCGGCCGCTTTTTGCGCGAGTTATGTGCGAAAAGCCGAGGTGGTCCGTTCGCCCGCCTTTTAAGCGCGAGGGTTAATTTTGGCTTTTGATGCCGAATTCTGTTTTATGTCGCTTATTTCACCTTATAGAATACAGTCCGAATTAGATTCGCTTCACTTCACTTCATTAATATTTTGTTGACTACCAGTCAACAAAAGCTCAGAAGTATATGTATTCTTTCATTTCAATCCATTATCTCTGTCAGAGGCATATCAACCTTGACCCGCAACTGACAATGTGTTTTAATTACAAGAAAATACACTTGTAATTCCAAAGTATATTGCCAGTTTTGATACCGTTGGCTTGAGGACACGTGACTAGCCAAGTTCAGAATGTTCTAAGTAAAACTAAGTATCATAAAGCGAAAAAATGATGCTGCTAAAATAAAGCCATTTTGATAGCGCTGTGTTTGACATGATTGCGTTTTCATGAATGTGAGGTCTGCTGCCAAACCACTACCATTTTTCTGATGGTTTCTTTTAGGATGTGTTCTCACATCCTCTTTTTAAACACTGGCATTTTATCAACTCACCTCTGAGCTTCTTTAGCCGAGAAATTTTGATAAATCCAAAACCATATCAACTCACCACCCCCCAGGGGGTGAGTTGATATGAACTTTGGCGTTTTAAAAAAGGGGCTTAATATATACATTTTTTATTCATTTTTGCTGATTGCCTCCCCAAGGCATGTGCCATGAAACTGGCACAAAAAGAATTCCGTAAATGAATGTGACTTTTAAAGAAATCTAGAAAAACCTCAAAATCCATATCAACTCACCCCGGTTTACGGTACCTAAATCTGTGTCAGATATTCGTTTTTTTTTAGTGTCTGTAGTATGTACCACAAAATATGGTTTTGTTGTGTCACTTTAAAAAAGCAAAGTTCTGTTAGTATGCGAAAAATTTATTCCTTGAACTTATATCACCAAACTAGCTGTCGTGACAGTGTTGGGTATATCCGGTGCGATGGCACAGACTGGCGGGTGCTGCCCGAACGGCGTCGTCTCGGAGCCGTGTCCGGCCGTGCACTGTCGCTCAGCACAGCGAGTGGCATTGGGCCGGGTGCAGCAGACCCTGCATCATACAGCGCCGCAGGCAGCTGGGACTCTTCTTCTTGGCGCGCGGCTGGAGCGTCGAGCAGAGAGCGCTGCAGCCGGCCCGGGAGGCGCAGCGGCGCACACAGCTGGCGGGGCCACCGGCTGCAACACGGCGCGCACTGTTAGATAGCCGGCCACACAAAGCACCGTTCTATCTTTAACTGGTGGAAGGAGGAGGGGGGGGGGGGGGTAGTGACTATTTCCCCCTGCCCAGGATAGGAGGAGAAGGGGGGCTAGTGACTATTTCCTCCTGCCCAGGATGGATTTTCTGCTCTCCACAAAACACCCTAAACCCGGCCGGGCGCGGGGGGGGGGGGGGTAATCCCGACCACCGCATCCGGGGGGCGGGCGGGGCGTTTTTCGCCCCCCCCCCTGTCTAACTCAGTTAATAAGGGAGCTACGAAAACAATAACGACATCAAACAAAAAGTCCTCACAAGACGATTCTTAGGCACCTAACATTTTTGACCTCAGGTAAATTTTCAAGGTCAGAGGTCAAGGTCAAAGGCAAAAACCGGCACATGTGTACCTAGTGATCCAAAGTAAGCGTTCTTGAGGACGGCAGGATGCCTAAAACCGGCAAAATTGGGTGTCAAACAAAAGAAGAGAATCTGAGGATTCCGAAAAGGTGCTCAAAATCAAAGCTCAAGGCCTATGTCATCCTCAAAATTGACCTCAAATTTTGCACCTTTTCGTACATCTTGCGTGTTAACTTCCAAGTTGTTTTGAAATGTTTTGAGGCTTATCAGGTGCCTATTTGTGGTTCATCTTACGATACAAAGCTGGTTAAAGGTCAAGGTCACAGAAGAGTATCCTTACTAGAGGCTATTTCACTGATTCAAGTTAGTGATTGTAAATAAGACAATTTTGCAATTTGGAGGCTCTAAATGAAGGCTTAGAGGAAAATAGACGCCAGCTTCGTGATCAGCGGATACGAATCCATCATAAACGACATTTCATGTGTCAAGGTCAACCAAAGGTCATTCGAGGTCACATGGGGTAAACATAAAACTTGACCTTTTTCAAAAACGTATAACAAGAAAAGTTTTTCCTAACAAAATGGTATATTTTGACCTTTTCCAAACAAAATATATCTCATTCCACGCGGCTTGACAAGGCAAATGCGATGGTACCACTGCCTTAGCTCTAGGAAATTTTTTGTCGAAGTTATTTGCGAAAAAAACTATAACCAGAGCTCGGAGTCGTTGACCTGACCTCTCAGGTAACCAAAACTAGTTTTTATATTTTGATCTAGGTCAAACGCTACACAACTGTGCTCGTAATTTGTCGTTATCTCTAAAACTCTATTTTTAGCAGCTATTTGAAGTTCGCGTCTGTGACGCCGAAGTTTGCCGTGCAGGGGTCTAGAGAAATCGACCCTGTGACGTCATCAATGTGGCTAGGTCCAAATTTTTTACTTCAGATGATGTCAAATTGATGGGAGAAAAGGTACTGAAAGTTTTGCTTTCCTAACCCGCGTTCGGGAGCTATCGGAAATATTCGCCAGAGAGGGGGGGGGGGGAAACGCCCCCCGAGCCCGCGAGGGGTAAGGTAGCATTTCAAAATTTGGCGACTTCTCTTAAAGGGACCCTCCCACCTTCAAAAAAGTTTATGAATTGGCATGAAAGTGATGTCGCTCGGTTCAGAAAGAGCGAAAACGAATATCTACCAAATTTCACCGAAAAATATTCACCGGTTTTCAAGATAATAGACTTTTACTTTTGTTTACTTTTTGGGATCTCCGCTGTTCCTAGCGACTTTATTTGGAAGCAATAGTTTGGCAGCTGAAAGTGCGGCACTTGTTGCGCGCAAAGCAGCATATACCACCGCGTGCTACAAAACGTTTTAGTCAAACGTTTAAAAATCGTTAGATATCTGCGCTGACGTCACACATTCAGAGGGGTATTCCTATGCATTAGCCCCTCTGAATCAAAGTGCTGCAATTTTGAAATTCAATATTTCCGATTTAAGGCATTTCTCGAGGTTGTGAGTGCCGAAACCGGTAATTGTGAGCCAGGGACCCCATTTTGGCTATCTCAACTCAAATCTAATGTTAAGGTGGGAGGGTTCCTTTAACCGCGCATGACTGGGGAATTTTCCACAACGCGCTCCGAAAGTACTGGGCCGATAGCCAAAATTCAAACGGTGTCTGATAGTTGTTCGGTATTGTTAGACATATTTGTAAAATCTGATGGCCAATAGTTGCAAACCAAAATGATAATTAAAATCTAAATCTTTTTTTTTGTATTTTAGACGTTTCGACAACAATGTGCCATCGTCAGTAATTGAGCCAAAATATACCTGAAGTCACAAATCACATTTTGAAATAACATCCACTAATAAATCACTCATGGTAATGACATTTCGATATTTTACATTCGATCACGTTCGTTCCCCACAATGGTGCTCCCTTTCAGCAAGGATAATCTAGCTGTCGCTACTGCCATCGAATAAAATCCCCCTCTTGTGTTAGGTGTGTTCTTGGGTTTGATGTGTGCAGCCTCTAGTGCCCTCCTGATATTTTTGACTTTCCTGGAAAAGCTCCACTCATCGGTGGAGGCATCAAAGTTTATGAAGCTGACAATTTTTTTGCGCAAGTTAAATGCAATTTTCAACGATGCATTATCATGAAAACTGTCTAACTTTTGCCGTTTTTCCCTTTTAAAAATCTAACCTCATGTTAGCATGTTCGGCAGTTGAGAGATGTCTCAGGAACAATGACTTTCTTATCGTAAAAGGTCAATGTTCTGATTAGTCATAATTTCCGTCAAAAATGAAAGAATTATTTACATTTGCATTCGGGCACAGCCCATCATCAGATGTATATTTGAAAAGACAGCATATACATCGTCACAAAAACAAGAATCGACATTTCAAATTCAGCTCGTGAAAATGACACATCAGTATCCTTCGCGCCGTATGGTACCTATCTATATAAAACACACCTATAAACACACACACAAGCACAATTTTGGGGCACATACATACGATAAACTTGTTCTCACATGATACGCCACGAGGACAGATTTTCGTTCAGCCCAGGTTTTCTTTCCCTTATGTACAGTGATTCTGTAATTTTCCTATCCGGATGGTCCTTAGTTTTCTTCAAAATCCTAACCTCCAGTGGCGGGTCAGCCAGCTTATCTGCCTTCGACATCCCCGCGTGACACTCTGAAAAATGGTCACCGATCGGGGTAAGCTGTGTCTCGTTGGCAGCACACCTCAAATGCTCATTGTATCTAAGGCGCAGAGGCCGTTTCGACTCGCCGATATACTTAGCTCCACATAGCGTACAGGAGAGCTCATAAACCACGTTTTTGTCCGTGCACCTACCATTCTGCAACCTCCTGCAAGTGTTGCAGATCCTGTTGCCCGAAGGGCACGGTGGATCGCCAAACGATGAATGCACTAGCTTTTGTTCCAATGTCTCTGGCGTGTATGAGGCCACCGTAACATCCAGCCCAGAAGCACGAGCCGCCTTCTTCACCTTGCATAGCACAGTTTCATTGACATAAGGCAAAAGAAGGATCCCGCCAGACGTGTGACCTCTTCCTGCTCTTGCGCCCTGCCCCTCCCTACCATCAGCGCCAGGGGCAGCGTCGGGGACATCCCTAGTCGTATGTCTCCCTCGCCCTCCACGAGCTCCTCTACCGTCTCTACTGACCCTACGCAGCCGCTCTTTTCTTTCCACTTGTCGCCGAGTGCTCCTTAGCACGTGCGCAGGGTAACCATTTCTCGAGAACAGGTCACAGATTTTATCAAGGCTCCTTTGCTTAGACTCCTCATCAGAGGACAGTGCGATCGCGCGCGTCAATTGGGACCGCAGAGTGCAGAGCTTTGTCTGCTTGGGATGCGCTGAGCGGTAGTGGAGAATGATCCCCGCATTGTTAGGCTTGACATATAGCTCCGACTGGAATCGACACCTATCACCCTCCCGGTGCAATGTGATCAAGGTGTCCAGCATCGGGACGGCGCCCTCCCCTTCCCCAGACATCTCGTAGGTGAACTGTATCCTGGGGTTAATGCTGTTCAGATAGGTGACAAAGTCAAGTAGGGCATCTTTACCATGCAGCCAGACACCAGCAAAATCGTCAATGTACCTGACAAGGAAATCAGGTCTCAAATCGGCCCCATCCAGTGCCAGTCTCTCAAAACGGTCCATGTACAGGATGGCGACAGCTGGTGCAACCGGATTACCCATGGCGATACCCTCCAATTGCAGGTAGAATTGTTCCCCGAATCTGAAAATGTTGTTTTTCAAGCAGTGCTGTAGGAGCTCACACACGTCATCCACACTTAGTCCTGCAGTGTCTATATCTGTGTGGTGTCTCTCCAATGCCTCCCGCACTGCCCCCACTGCCTCGTCCACAGGTATGCTGCCATATAAGTTAGTCACGTCAATGCTAAAGAAAATAGCATCGGCAGGAACACTGTGCTCACCCCAGAATACACGCAGTCTCTCTAGGAAGTCGTCCGTGCTGACGAGATGCAGCGGCACATGCTGAAGGAGCTGCTGCAGTATTTTGTCCAACATCCAGGATGTCTTCTCGGTCGGACCGCCGCAAGCAGATATCACTGGCCTCAGCGGAACACTCGGTTTATGGTCTTTGGGTAGTCCATAAAAGACCGGGGTCCGACTGTGATTGGGTGTCAGATCCTCGATACACTTATCCGGCAGTTTGTCACGCACTGTCTGTTTGAACACACGCTTGGTGGAAGCTTCCACTTTAGCAGTCGTGTCACGGTCGAGTTGCCTGTAGTTGGTGGCATCACCGAGCACGTCGTTGGCCTTGTTAACATAATCTGTTTTGTCCAATATCACCAAGCCTTTGCATTTATCACTAGGTTTGACGACTATGTCCTCGTTCTTCTGTAGCCGTTCTAGTCCCGCGAGCTGCTCCTGGGAAACATTTCTATCTGACTTCCCGTGATGTTTGTAAATATTCAAAACCGAGCTTTTCAGCTTGCTCAGTTGTTCTTCTGTGTTCCTGTTGGTTACAGGCGGCTGCGGTTTGGTGGCGTCTGGAAAGCGAGCATCACGAAGCAGATGTGAAGTCGGTGGCGCAGTGGACTGTTGAGACGTGGTGCTCACCGCTCCAATGC